TAGCTTTGCCTCTCTCCAGGTCAATACAAACTATAAGTATGAATGACAATATATATCAATGATGTGTGTGTGTGTGTGTGTGTGTGTGTGTACAAGTGCAGTGCTCAGGCATTATGTATGTATTACAGTATAGCAGTATGTGTATGAGAGTACTGATGCAAGTTTAGTCTTACTATAGGCTGTACTTTACTGTACTTGGTGGGCAGGCCAAGCTGGTTAGAATGAAAACATTGAACGTGATTGGCAAGATCGCTGTTCTGTTTAAAAGTTTGTTTTTGTTTTTTTAATTTTGCGCAAAACTACACGAGGGCTATCTACGCTAGCCATCCCTAATTTAGCAGTGTAAGACTAGAGGGAAGGCAGCTAGTCATCACCACCCACCACCAACTCTTAGGCTACTCTTTTACCAACGAATAGTGGGATTGACCGTCACATCATAACGCCCCCACGGCTGAAAGGGTGAGCATGTTTGGTGTGATGGGGATTCGTACCTGCGACCCACAGATTGCGAGTCGAGTGCCCTAACCACCTGGTCATGCCAGGCCCTTGTTTAAAAGTTTTACAAGTCATTGACTGTTTGTTTCCTTCAGATACTATGTAACATTAGCATGGTTTGGGCTTTTTTTTTTTTTCAATGTAACAAAACTTTCCAGGAAATAACGTGTCAAATGTTAGTTGAATAAAGATGCAAAATTGCCAACTAAACATTAACTGTATATTTTGGAAATAAGTAAGATAAAAAAACATCAAAATTCTTGCAATTGAGTCTTTTTTTTTTAGGGTCTATTTATTTATTTTTTCCAGACAACTTCTGATACAGATCACATTGTCCAAAGGACCACCTGGAAATTTCCTTAAAATTGAGCCCTACTACTTAAGTATTAAATAGTGTAAATTTACTGTTTTTTAACAGTTTTATATTCCTAATTTACAATTGTATAACAAAATCCTTTAATGTTGAATAAACACATAGATATATGGGAGAGGACCCAGGAGTTCCAGAACTCCCATCAATTATTTATGAAAAATTAATAACTGCATTCTTTAATGTTGTATAAGCAGGTGTGGATATTATGGAAGAGTCCAGGGGGACAAACCCCCATACATGTTTATCTAAAATTCATAACTATATTATTTAATATTATATAAGCAGGTGTGAATTTAGGTGAGGGATCCAAAAGTATCAAAACCTCCTCTCCATCTCTTCCATCTGTGTTTTTCAGAAATTAATTAAAAACAGCCAATAGTGTGAAAAAGAAATATTAGATGTCAGCATCTTTATTTGATTAGTCTATTAATTACCAAAAAATTATCATCTACAGCAATTTGGTTACAGCCTCAGCCAATAGCTGATTAATTCTAAACGATTACAACAATATGAATGTCAATTAAATGTTGCCATTGTAAATTTTCATGCGTTGTGTGTGCTCTAGACTTTAAGAGATTTGTTTGTTTTTTCAAAGTTAGTATTGTTTATCAGAATTTGTAGTGCATACTGCGGGGATTCAGAGATTTTGGCAAAAAAGTTAGAAAAAACCTTTACTCTCCAGATAATAATAAAGAACTTTATATTTCAGCCAACATTTCACCACTAGGGCTTCATCAGAACTAGTAGTATAAAAACGTTTTATATAGTTAGTATTGCTTAGGACACCTGCAGCTCTTATTACATATACTCATTACAGAATTGACTCTTCATTGTTTGGAAGTTATAACACTGGTGTAAAAGATGTTTTCCTATTGTTGATATTCATAATAAACAAAAATGCAAATGATATGGGTGTGTGTATGTGATGACTTTAAAAAGAAAAGAAAAGGAAACAAGTCAAGCATCCTGTTTAGGAACATTAAAGTATGAATTTAGAAGTAGACTTTATAAAAATTTTTCTAAATATAACTATGTACTTCTAGTTACAAAATTTGTAATGTTTCTCATGTTTTTCCTATCAACTATATTACTAAATAAACAAGTTTAATGCAAACATATTTTGAAAACACACAGAGTAGAAAGCAACAAAGTCACATGATTCGAGATTGCTTTAGGCTTAATAAAAGTATCTGCTGATGTTTGGTTATTTGTTTAAAATTATGTTTTTATATTTTAACAGATATATTATAATTTTACTGTGTTGGTATGTTTGTGAACATGAAGTTTTTTTATGTTCACCAAATCTTAAGTTTACTGTTTATTGATTATGATAAGTGATTGCAAAATATTGTGATAACTCAAATTTGTATTGAATTTCATTTTTATGTTTATCCTATTCAAACAATGTACATAAATAAATTGTCTAGCTGGTTACTTAATTATTCATAATCATGACACGTTTTAAATAAAAACATTATTAACTTTATCAAAAAAGTAAAAGTTTTCATTATTTAATTATAAATTTATGTGATTTACAGAAGATCAGTGTGGGATTACCACATATTTACTTGGTGATATTTAGTAGACATTAGTGATTCATCCACCAAGTAGGAAATGTCAACAAACCTTATGGAAAAATTGGTTTTTGCAAATGTGCAAATGGTGACATTCAGAAGAGGTCTATCATACAAGTTAAAAAAATTTAATTAATTGATCATTGGAACCATCAAAAACATTAATTATGATTTTTTTTTCAACACAATCCATTCATCTATTAAATTTATTCTTGAGCATCTCCTGAACAGTGGCAAATTAGCCAATGCTTCCATTAAGAGATGTCCCAACATACTATACAAATTGAATTTTACTGTGGATGCCAAGAACTTAATGTGTGGGAATACCTGGGATGTCCATGCCATGATTCCACACGCTCAAATAAATTCATTATTTGCTTCCAGCTTTCAATCAATGCTATTTAATTGTTGCAACCCTAAAAAAATTGGTTTTTTAGTTACATTTGATATAGAATTAAAATTTTAGATTGCCTTTTAAATCCTTGTATTTAGCTTGTGATTACTGCAAGAATAAATCCTGACTTTCACTAGTCAATCTCTACCATTGTCCTAGCTAGACATCATGTTTGTTTGGCTACTGCTGTAACCCCTCGAAATACAATTGTACAGCTCATTACACTTCTCAGATGCATCCCAAGCAAAATTATACACACACACAAATAAACAAGACAAACAGTAAGTAACTGTCCAGTCTAAATGATCTGGTTTGGAACATACAGCATTGCAATGTGACAAAGTTGCATACAGTGTTCTAAGACCTCCACATGTTCAAACAGAACTTCTAAAACTGATGCCCTGAAACACCTGAACTTCCTATTTTTGCAAGTTAGTGTGGAAGGGCAGATTTACCCTTGCTAGGCATTTTCATAACCATCGATAATGGTCAGTTACAGACATCTTTATATCAGAAATAATCTGTTAGCCCTATCTTTTTAAACTTTGTCTCACCACCCAAAAAAGTCAAACATACAGCTATATTTGATTAACTTAGTTATATATTTGCTCTATATGCAATACTTACGGTGACACTCTTGAGGTTCGAGATGAACTAAAACCTATATTTTTAGAAAATAACCAATATCATCTGACTATATTATATCAATGTTAATGGACTTTAACAACAACCCTATGGTAAAGAAACTTGTGAATCCCTTTTATTGGTGAAAATGTAACACACATCACTCCATAAATGCAAACTTAAGATTAATCTTCCAGTCAAGATCATTCAATATCCAGTAAAAACTTTAAATTGCAGCTTGTTGCTTCTATTTTAAAAAAAATACAAAAAACTTTTCGTGAAACAAGAGATTCTTTGGTGGCAGAACAAGGAAAAGTAACGTGTTTGCATAAAGAATGCTGTATATTAGGCCACATGTAAAGAGTGTAATCAGTTTCATGTTGGAAAAACTGTTCAAAATGACAGAATTATAAAACATACAAGATGTATTCCACAAGGAAGCACAGGAGACAATGTCACTGCAAAATAACACACAATTACTCATGGCTTATCAATAGGTAAACAAGTAATGACTGACATCCAGGAAACAATAAAAATATTTCTTGAAAGAAACTACACAAAGTCCTTGTTAATTGTTTTTTTACCACAAACTAAATTGTGATTGTGAACTGTCCCTTTAGAAAAAAAACGTGTTAATTTCAGGCTCTTCTCTTTGAAAATAATATAAATTTACAATGTAATATTAACATTTTCTCCAAGAAATGAATTTGTCTAATTTTTATATTATCTTTCTCTACTTCAAAACTAAAACAGATTACATAGTGTAATTTAAGTAAAATTATGTTTGAGGTTATTGTATAATATTCCTTACATAAATTTATTTCTAATTCTTGAGATAATGGACCTCAGTACTATGACATGGGTTACATTGTTGTATTATTTAAATCTGTTCTTCCATTCTATGGGTTTTTTAAACTTCAGTCTACACTAGTATGATATAAATCCCTCAATTAAGTGAAATACAGTAAAAAGTCCAAGAAAAAAAAACATTTCTTGAGATCAATCATACTTATTGCAGTTTTTTCAACACCTAAAATGGTAAAAGTTAACTTTTCCATCAAAGTTTTTTTTGCTAGAGTAATAAAAGTGTTTAGAAAATAATAAACAAGTAAAAATGATGTTACACAAGTAAAAAGGATATTTTGAAATAAACTAGTTTAATTTTGTTTGTTAGTATATTGGATTAACTAGAAGATTAAAATAAGTTTCAATGAACCACATGAAAACCAACAAATCAAACTGGTGTATACTTCTAGTTACAAATATATTTCATACTGATTAACAAACAATTCACATAAATCCACCAGACAAATACTGTGCTAATACATTCACCACAAATAATAGTGTTCTACATCATACTTATGAGACTAAAAATAAAAAAAAAGACTTAGGAATGCTGAAATGTTACAGATCAGATAAATGTGGAAACAAACATTTGATGATTTTAATTGTTAAGAACTAAAGTATACGGTTATATATATTTTCCGAATTCTAAGTTAACTCTGTCATTCAAAATTCACAAAATATTTTTCACTCTTACCCATCCATTGGTACCAAAGAAATAGCTCGAGGCTGGTCAAGATTATCCCAAAATAGTACTTTTCTGAAACTGCCATCAAGATTACTGACTTCAATTCTATTACTTTCAGAATCTGTCCAGTATAATTTTTTTCCCAACCAATCACAAGCCAAGCCATCAGGAGATATTAAACCCGTAGTAATAATTTTCTTCAGTGACTTAGAATCATTGATATGCATTCCTTTGATCATCTCAAGACCAATATCTGTCCAAAATATCTTATTTCCTGCAATATAGAAGTCCAATGCTGTAGCATCTTCAACACCACTGCTAAATATTTTTGATTCATTTCTTCCTGAGCCATGAATATCAATAAGTCTTATATCTTGGCGATTTGCAAAGAGCAGAAGTGGAGATGCTAATGAAAAGAGAAAAACACATCTCTAAATGTATTTTCTGAAAACTAAGCACTACAAGTATTATTTGTCAATATAAAATTCATTTATTCTGCATGCTCATGTATTTTTAGATTTTTGATAAAACCTTTCTCTACACTCAAACTATAAAGTAATCATTCTAATTTATGTTTCTTTACTTGTTCATCTTAAAAAAAAACAAAAAACATATCCATCTGCTCCATTTCATAAAATTTTCTCCAATAATAGTTTATTAAGTACAAGAAACTACACTTAAGAGTACTTCTGAAGTTTATCAATATTACAAGAATACACTACTTTGCTTTCTGATCTTACAAAATTTAATCACAAAAACCATCCAACAACAACAACTGATATAAAATATACATAAAGTAATCATGAAAAACTATATTCTTCTTGTTATACCAGGAATAAAGCTACCATAAATGTTGAGGAAATTACCACATTATTTAATGGTAAAAGACCAGAACTTCACCCTTTGAATGAATACAAATGTCTGTAGTTTTAAGTTTGTTTATTTTTCATTAAGAAACTATATCAAAGAAAATGTTTTTTTTGCTTTGCTATACACTTATGTTTTAAAAATATTGATAAGTTGTATTAATGTAAATGAATGATCTGCTAAACAAAGCACTAAGCAATATGTTAGACAACCACAAACTACATTATTATCCAGTATTTTGTCTTCTGCTTTTGAAAGTATAAGATATTTCATGTGAAATCCGATGAATGATCCATTTTTTTTTCATTAAATGGAATCCACATTTTTACATACTTTCCAAAGCACAATTTTTCTGTTTCTCACTACTGTGATGAAAGCTGTCCTTTCAAACTTTGCAACATGCTAAAAATCCGTCACTCACTAAATCCACACTATTGCACATGTACACAATATAAATATAACCTGTTTGGTAATCTAATGTTTCTTTACTGAACCAGAATTAAAGTTCTGGTTAATAAGTTAATGTCTTATAGTATTTACAGCCAAATAAAAAAATTCCTGTGTTTTCTTCTACATTTAATTTACAATTATGGTGGAGAGGTTGGGAATTTTTTATTTCACTCTTACAATCCAATTTTTAGTGTAGGTTTTGATACTTTTCCCTGCAAAATGTTTCCATACACCTTTATAAATCTCAACTTCCATATGTTTCTTTAATACTTGAACTCATATAAGTAAGTAACATCAAATATGATTAGCTTAGCAATATGGCTTCTACACATACAGCACTAACAATGTATATAAGACTACTACATTATACTTACGAACTTCATTATTGTTTTGCTGTTGATCTAATTATGTTAAAAATCATCTAATACTTTGATTAAAATAGCTTTTAACAGGTTTCATAATATACATTAGTACTGATAATATAATGCAGCAGGATGACATTAGAAAAAACACACATTTGTACCTTCATGAACCCAGTCTTAGGCCTAACAGTTCCTATTCATCTTTACCAACTATTTTAACCAATCCCATATGATGAAATTGAGTATTAAAAATAAATACCTTTTTCTTCTAAATAAAGACTATAGTAGTATGATGATCAATAAAAATACAATACAAAAGTGAAAAAGGATAAAAATATAGAGGCACAAATCAAGTTGTTTTACTTTCCTTTTCCGTACCAGAGATAGTTTTTCTTCATTTTTTTACATGAAAAATAATTAAAAGGTAAAATATATTTTCAATAACCTTATAGGTTTTATTGACATTCAGACTTTAAGGGCTTTCAAAATCTAAAGTAAAATTTCTAGTTTTTCTAGGATTCAATGACCTGTACAAATCCTGAAAATATGTTTTCATGAGCAAAAAAACTGATGACTCATTACATTAGCAAATGTTGCATATATATGCACACATTTCAATTTCATTTTGGTTTTGAAACAAGTATATGAAAGCATTCCTCTACATTCATTTCCCAAATAGCAGCAGATATTTTTGCTTATTCATTCAATAACTCTTATGTGTTTCAAACTTTACTGTCATAAACAGACTGTTCTAATATCATAAAAATATTTCTGGTTCAAAACTGCCAAAACATATGGTACAGTCAATAAAAAAAATATATTATTTATACATTGTGTAATTTCTCAACTGTGTCAAAAAATGTTAGGATTAGGCCTTTCCAAACAGCCTGGATAAGATATTTTTCATCTTGATTTAATCATGTATCATTTGGTTTCAAGATACAGTTTTATGAACGTGCAAATGGTCTCATAACCCAAATAATAAGTATATAGAACACTGGCTTCAATAAATTTCCACATAATTTTCCCTGATATTCAGTTTGACTTGTATAATAACTAGAAATCCATACCTATAACTTAGGCTTACATAAGCTAAAAATGAATAACTAATAGGTAGAATGGCAGTCAAAATGAAGAAACAGGTGCTTAAACAATTACTGATGTCTTTATTTCATTAAAAAATTCTGACTTCCATTTAACTGAAATTGTAAACTAGCATATTTTGGCGATATATTAGGTCAAGAAATATTTCACTATAAAACCAGCTTTTAATATAATCATAATATCACAAAAATCTACAAAACACACTTGAAAATGATCTAGGAGAAGTTAAACTATATACAAACTTATCTAGCCATGTCTAATTTAGCATCTCATTAACTTTGACACTGTACCACATCTGTCGCTGTATTTGAACATATTTTCATCCACTTTAGACTATATATATACCCAGCCTTTACTTTTGAATCACCAAAGTGTTTATGATCATAAAATTGTTGTGCAGTTTTACAAATATACATATGACTAAAAGTACACATGCAAATTATTATATTACTTTATTAAAGGTCACAACTTTAATTATGTGAATGTATGTATACCCATATAATATATCCCAAGTCCATTTCTAACATATATCATGGGTTAGGCAATCAAATTCTGGCTCAAAATGCCCCCAAACAGCTAACTGGCATCACATTATGATCACATATGTTAGTATTCTATGTGAAAGTAAACTGACATGTTCATTTAGGCTTAGGGGTATTTTCCTTTTACGAAATTGTTTGTTGCTTGCATTTAAAATGAGTTTTATTATCAGTTAATTACCCTTATACTGTGTTTATATTACTCATACTGAAAGTTTTGTACAAGTTCATAAAAGTGCTTACTAAATTATATCACTCATGTGAAAAGAACAAACAGCATAACCTAATATGTAGAATCAATTTTAGATACTTAATTGGAAAATAACATTTCTTATTAAATTAACAATACAGCAACCATGTCTACTTCAGTGCTATTGTTATAAAAAATTGAAGTGCTTTGGTTTGTTATGAAATTCGTGCAAAACTACATGATGGTTATCTGTGCTAACCATCCCTAATTTAGCAACTCAAGGGCTATGTGCGCTTGCCACTCATAATTTTCAAGTGAAAGACTAGAGAGAAGGCAGCTAGTCATCACCACCCACCACCAGCTCTTGGGCTACTCTTTTACCAGTGACTTGTGGGATTGATAATCACATTATAACACCCCTCAGCTGAAAGGGTGAGCATGTTTGATGGGATGGGGATTCGAACCTGCAACCCCCACATTGCGAGTCAAGCACCCTAACCACCTGGCCAAGCCAGGTCAAAAACTGAAGTGAAAACTTTTTGTGAACAGCCACTTTCAGCTCTAAGAAGAAATCGATAACATTAACATTGGAACTTAATGTTCAAAATAAAAGTTCCCCGCTACAAAAAAAAACTTTTAGACAGAGGCTTGTAACTGCTGCCAATGTCAATAATGAATTATAATTACTTGCCCAACTGTCCCCCCTCCCCATAATTGTTGAAAAAAAGCTCAATTTTAATTTAATCACATATAGCTTATAAATGACTTTTTTTCCAAGTTGGTAAATATACTACTTTATAACTGTCTATCTACCCACCAACTTCCAAACTGTTTTTCATTAACTCCAAATAAAGAACATTACTTGCAATTTATAAATTTTTAAGACATGAAGCAATAAAAAGTCATGATGCAAGCATGATTCTGAGAATATTGATGCAACTGAAAAACTACAATGAATTTGATTATATATTCACTGTAATAGAAAAAAATCATTCTTCAATAAAAAATAAAAAAAGTTAGAAATGTTAGCAGTGTTCAGCATTTTCTTTTCATACACCACGTGTTCGTCCACGTCTTTGTGCAAAACAATAAATGTGTTGGATTTAACAAGGTCAACAGTGTAATTAATAAGCACAATCATGTGATAATTTTGACATACCATAGTTTAGGTTTTTCTTGTTCTTAAAATGGCTGAGATATAAGATAAAAAGAAGTTATAGTAGAAGGTATACGTAACAAGAACTGGGCAATAATTTGGGTATCTGAAGCTCCCTTAATGAATAAAAAATACATCTGATATATCGAATAATAATGCAAGGGTTATGGAAAATGACCATTTGTAGGTACATCAAAATAATGCGACCACACATTTAACGAGATCGCATTTCGTGGACCCCAACTATCACATAATAATGGGGTTCCATTGTATATTAAAAGTAAAACATTTAAATTTCTTTTGATAATAAATTCATGGAAATTATTTGGAGCCTTGGAGTAATAATGCATCTTTAACAATTTGACTTTTAGTTTGAAATTGCTTTTCTTAAGCTACATAGATAAGATCAAGTTTAAGAAGTAAGATATTATGAGTAATTTTTTATAATACAGTAGAAACCTGTTAGAGCTCGACCAATATAATGTAAATTCAGATATAACACAGTCATTGTTTGGCTCCCAAGTGACGTGCCATCAGCCAAGTTCTTGTATCTGGAGAAATTCACTTAGCATACTAGACTTTGCTCATAGCCAGAAGTCAGCTGGAATGAGGCAATCAACATTAGATGATTTAAAAACAAAAAAAACAATGGATTTTTGAGACACTTTACATGTTATTAAAGTTTTTATGTAACTTTGTATTTTTTTAATCGGCTGTAGGTTTTGTGTACTTGATTTCTATTTTTACACAAGTGGTTGTGTGTGTGCAATTAATGCAACATAGTACATAATGAAAAACATATTTCAAATTTCAAAAACAAGCTACATTGTGGTTTAAATCAAATTGTAACTGTTCCTTTTTTTATATTCTAATACACGTAAGATCACAGTAAATGTAAAATAAATGCAAAAATAAAGTTAAAAGTACACAATAATGAACATAAAAACAATAAGTACTTTTAACAAAAAAGGTGTCTCACATATTAAAAACAAAACCGATTTGCAGGTTTATAGAATATGTTATTTGGCTCCTCTTAAAACTCTATATGAATCATACAACTTTTATTTGTCAACAATTAACGTTTGCAAGTATTTTTAGATGTAATATATAGACAGAATGAAGTGTGATGATTTTCTGAAAAAAAATCTGTAGTTTTCATTGTTCACTAATATATCAAAAAATTTAAAAATGCCATTTATAAATTGCTATTAAATTACATAACTATAATTTTAACATAACATAATGTTTATTTACAACATGGGACCTATTGATCCATCTCGGCTGTTCCATCCTCAAAACTATTAAAAAAAATAATCTTGAAACCAGTCCTTATCATTCACATCATTTAATAAAAAGCTTGATAAGTATATGAAAAAAAAGGGCTGGCTTTAAGATTTTATTTATTTATTAATATTTTTAATCATTTTTAATTTAGTTTAGAGGATGGAACAGCCAAGATGAGCCAAGTAAGCGAATATTAATGAAATTTGGCAGTTTATCAATAAACATTACAATGCTTTCATATGCAAAATATCTATTTTTTTTTATTAAGTCTTAGGTTTGTAAAGCAATGTTTCTTTCATGCTTTTCTTTTCACATCTTATCGATCATGCAAAGTAATTTTCATTTTAAGATTTAAAATACTTTTATGCATCAGAAAATTTTCAACTTTCACATGCAAAATCTTTATAATGTCCAGATAGTTATCAAATGTTTCTTAAGAAAAACTATATTTTATCTGTTATTTTCAGTAACAAATCTCTGTACGGGTTTAGTCGATTTGATCGATCTTGTAACCACATTAAAAGAATTAGGAAATAAATATAAATTATGCCTTTTTCATTCCAGAATGACTACAAATTATAACACAAAAACATAAATATTTAGACTAAATAGGTATAATGTTATGAGATTTAAAATGTATATATATTTATTGTATTGACCTTTCAGCCATGTCTGACTAACAGTACAAAAGCTACAGTGATGTAACTCACGTGCACTCATGTTACCTATCAAGTAATCTGTACATAGTAACTTGTCTTGGCTGTGTTTTAGTAGACTAGTATTTTGTAAAATACAGTCACGTTTCAATTATTATACACGTGGAGGTCAATTTTTTAGGTTTTATATATACATTTGAATAACTAAGAGATCACAAATTACTACATTAATACCATAGAATTCCCTTAATTTATCAAGCTTAGTAATTAAGATGTATTTTAGTCTTAAAAAATATGAACTTTCAAGCAGACTAAAGACGCACCCTATCCCGTTAGAATATTGGTTCAACTGAAAGAAATGGCACCAAGACCTTTAAAATGGCTGAGAGAGCCACTAGGGGACATTTTGAGCTTCCAATTGGTTATTTGTGTCATATATAGAAGTAAGTGAATATAAAGGAGCATTTCCAAAAATGGAAAGAGGTG